AGACAGAAACAGTACAACAATAACAATTAAAAAACAAAAGCACCAACATGGAGAGAGATGGTACCAAAAAAAAATTCTTCCTGGTACGACTTCATTAATTTAACTCTAATCTGTGCTCCAAAAATAATAATAATGGTTCTGTGCATAGCTATTCATAGGATGGCAGGATATTATGATACACGAGCAACAAATCTTAAATAATATTTAGTCACCCCAGAATGCTTATAAAAATCAGAGAACGTGTGTAAAAGCACAGCCTCTACAAACAGATCCCAGGGAGCAGCCTTAGGCTGTATTTACCTCTCCAACCCCCTGGGCAGGGTGTAAAGGTCCCCTCCCCTTACCGATGGTCTTGGACAGTTGGACAATTTTTGCAGAGAGCTGGATAATTGGGAAGGCGGTAGGATGAAAAAAAAAAAAAAAAGGTTGAGTTCAAACCTAAGTATCTGCCTGCCCTTCCATGAAAGCCTCCAGCCACCCGGGATGTCTCGTGGAGGTTCCCAGCCCGAAGAAGCAGCCAGCAGAGACCAGAAACCAGGTACTTTAAAACGTGCAGAGCATTGCAGGGCTGGATGCAGGAAGAGCTCCATGAACGCATACCACCAAAAAAGATAATCGTGTCACTGATCCCTTACCAGCCTGAATAAGTTTTCTGGAAGGGCTTTTAATCTGGCTGACAAACACAGCGAGAACTGTTTCAAAGACACTGTCATAGCAGCAATCCCATCCACAGTGCCTGACTCACCGCTGAATTCCCACTCCTGCATTAATGCTAACAACGCTTTTCATTTAAGCCCTCCATTTAGAGGGCTTGCTGTATTAAATTGCACCGTGGCTAAGAAAAAGAAAGAAAGAAAGGAGAAAAAAAAAAAAACAAAAAAACCAAACACAGACGATCTAATGTTTTCCTCCACTTCGTTCATGCACCACTCTTGTAAACGTATTGCTGTCCATCTCAGAAATCAAAAATTCCAGGATCTGGAGGCCCTGAAACTTTAGAAGAAAGCAAAGGCACAAGTGTGAGGACATTACCTCTGTCTGGAAACCCTCTACCAGGATGGCCACCAGCAGGTTAAAGAGAACGTAATTCCCAAACGTCATGAGAGCGATGAAGTAGAGAGCAGCCCAGGAGGAGGTCGATGCCATGCCGTTGTAGAGGACCTTGTTCCAGTCTTCCTGGGTCAAAATCTGCAGAGGAAAGGTATCAGGAAAATGGAGATACTGGATGATTGGGTGCCATTTTCTCTGAGCCTGGCTGGGTATCTGTGCTCTGGATGGGCCAAATGAGCATCCCACTTTTGGGGTATCCACCGTAGCTATAACCACAGGAGGATAAATCTGACCCAAGCCATCTTCTGAACCACAGAAGAGATAGGACCAAAGCGACCATGACTCCCATGCTACCAGTAAGGACCCTGCCCAAACTGCCCTGACTCCCACCCGCACCAAGGGACATGTTCAGCCATAACGGAGTGCAACGTCACATGGGTCGGACCTTTCCTTCAGTTGGCCAGAACAGCTAGAAGTCCTTCACAGATCCAGCAGTTACAGACCTCAGAGCTGCCAGAACAAAAAACCTGCACATATCAGTTATGGGCTTAAACTGGATTCTGTTCTTTGTCAGGACATCACTGAAATGGTCCTCATCTCCTGCTCTCCATCTCCACCCTCAATACTCACCCAGCCCATACCCTGCAAATTCAAGAGCCTCCTACCTCAGCAGCCCCTCCTCTCCTCACTAACTTTCTGATTTATTCTGGAAAATGGTCTGAAACCCCCTGTACTCCTGCACTTGTGGTTTTGGGTCCTCTCCCTTCCACTGCAAGGAGCTTGACAAAGTTCTGTCAGATGCTTTGGAAAACAACCCCAGCCCCTGCAGGCCCAAAACTCATGTGAGTTGTGGCGGTTTCCATTTTGTACCTGGAAAACGGTGACGATGGCCCAGAGCAAGGAGTCGAAGTTCTTCCTGTCGGGCAGTGTGTCGCCGTCGCGCTCCGAAGCAAACTTACAGCCAAAGAGGTGCATCCCCAGGATGCTGCACAGGAGGGAAAGCAGGGGCTCAACAGGAGACAGCATCGGTCTCCTATTAAAAACTAATAATCACACAGCAGGGCTGACTGTGTCTCCTGATTTCACCTGGGCAATTCCTTTTTTCTTTTTTCTTAAAAAGATGAATCATTCATTCACTGAAAAACACACCTCGAGATCCTGCAAACCAGTTGTGAATTTGGGTCAAATCTGTCAAACAGTTTCAGCTAAAAAGTATGCCCATGCCTTTTTTTTTTCCCCTCTGCTTTGGTTTTTTTTTTTTTTAAAGTCAAAACATTTTGTTTCAACATTTTCTAAACAAAGTTTTTTTGACTTTCTGTTTTGCAATGCCACATTTTTAGCAAAATATGCTTAAATTGAATTAGGAAGACAGAAAGGGGTTCTGTGAAATGCCTGAACGAGACATGTCAGGGGACTCAAACCAGCTTCTTCAATTTTGACAGGAAAGCAGAATACCTTTCATTTGAAGTTGATACTAGAAGAATCATTTGTTTTCCCCTGCTCTTGGCCAGTAACCTGAATACTCAAGTTATTTACAGCTCTGCTAAGCACCATGGCTGCAAATGGTGGCTTTGGAGTGAAACATCTCACTGGGAGAAAGGATGTTATTCCATGGAAGAGACTGGCTTTCCTCAGCCTTCCCAGTGCCTGGATTGCTGGTATGCCAGAGTTGGCTGATACAAGGATACAGGCTCTTCTCAAAATCTAGACCAAAATCCAAAAATTCGGGGCTATGCCAAGCCTATTTCTAATGTCTCCACTGCAGAATCCCACTTCTCAGAAGAAGAGGCCATGCAAGAGCACAAGCAGCACCACGGCTGACTTTATTTTAGGAACATCACCCTCTCCTTGGCAATATTTTTAGCACCAGGCTTTCTGCTAGTCAGTAAGTAATGGGACCGCTGTCTTGGGGTGGTGTCAAGGAATCATCCAGCTGAAAGATTTTCCTTGTAAATCATCTTGCAAAGACAGATGTCTCGTTTGGCCAGAGTTAAGAGAATTTAGTCAGGGCAGCAAGCCGTTGTCAGTGCTGGCCAGTGATGCTGCTTCTGGGACTGTTCAGCTCAGCCCTGCCTGGTACGGACTCTTACATCTCCTCACCTTGCCATGGGATCCCAACTAAAAAAGCCCAGAGCAACCTCAGGATTGGGAATCAGAAACACTCACCTAAAGATGAAGATGAAGAGCATCAGCAACATGCAGAACGTGGCCACATTGTCCATTGTCTTCATGAGGACTACGAGCTGGCGCTGGAGTGCTGGCATGAAGCGGACCAGCTTCAAAACTCGCATGAGCCGAAAGGTCCGCAGGACCGAGAGCCCCCCGCCTTGCTGCCCCACTATCTCCCACACACTAGAAACACTCACCTAAAGATGAAGATGAAGAGCATCAGCAACATGCAGAACGTGGCCACATTGTCCATTGTCTTCATGAGGACTACGAGCTGGCGCTGGAGTGCTGGCATGAAGCGGACCAGCTTCAAAACTCGCATGAGCCGAAAGGTCCGCAGGACCGAGAGCCCCCCGCCTTGCTGCCCCACTATCTCCCACACACTGAGGGAGGAGAAAAAAAAAAAAAAAAAAAAAAGACTTGGTTGGGGGACAACACAAAGCCCAAC